CATGTGGGGGACACAGCAAACATGTGGAAGAAGCTGCTCTGGTCAGATGAGACCAAAAATGCGAAACGCTATGTGTGGAAAACTAACACTGCACATCACTCTGAACACACCATCCCCACTGTCAGATATGGTGGTGGCAGCATCATGCTCTGGGGGGACTTCTCTTCCTTCCAGCAGGACAACGACCCTAAACATAAAGCCAGGGCAACAATGGAACGGTTTAAAACAAAACATATCCATGTGTTAGAACGGCCCAGTCAAAGTCCAGATCTAAATCCAATCCAGAATCTGTGGCAAGATCTGAAAACTGCTGTTCACAAACGCTGTCCATCTAATCTGACTGAGCTGGAGCTGTTCTGCAAAGAAGAATGGGCAAAGATTTCAGTCTGTAGATGTGCAAAGCTGGTAGAGACAGACCCTAAAAGACTGGCAGCTGGAACTGCAGCAAAAGGTGGTTCTACAAAGTATTGACTCAGGGGGTGAATAATTACACACACCCCACTTTTCAGTTATTTATTTGTAAAAAATGTTTGGAATCATGTAGGATTTTCCTTCCACTTGTCACGTGTGCACCACTTTGTGTTGGTCTTTCACGTGGAATTCCTTTTTTTTTGTGTGTGTCCTGTCTGGCACTGTAGCAATCAGAATTATTGTCTGAAGGCCAAGAAAAATGCCCAACAGATTTACTTTCCCAAGTGGGCCTTTTGCTATACTGGTCCGCTTGATTGTCATAGTTTATTTGATCTTTATTAGTTATTTTTATTCTAAGTTATTGTAATCAGGCCAGACTGGACTCGGGGACGGGAAAGAAAAACAAGAAGAAAAGTTCAGAAGAAAGTTAACAGAAGGAGAGGGAAAGAAAAAGGAGAAAAGAGAGAAAAGACAATGAAAATCTGCTTTATCACTTTTTTCTTTTTTTCCCTCTTTTCCTGGATGATGTGTTGAGAAAAAAGAAAACAAGCAGAAGAAGACTAGAGCAATAGAATAAACAACATCATGATGATCTATGGGAATATAACAGTAAATACTAAATGTTAAACATTATTGTGCAGCACGTAAGATCGACAGCGCACAGTGTGCTTTGAGGTAGGAGCCAAAAAGGGTGTAGTTTGTGTGTGTGAGCACCCGTGTGTACACCTGTGAGCATGAATGCGCTTGTTTTTAAAAGGTTCCTACATGTAATGATCTGTTAGAGGGTGTGGGGGGGCCACAGCCCCATCCACCAGGTTTCACGTGGAATTCCAATAAAAGTGATTCATGTTTGTGGCTGTAATGTGACAAAATGTGGAAAGGTCCAAGGGGGCCGAATACTTTTACAAGCCACTATATGTGACATAAAGGCTACAAGAAAGGTTGATGTCAAAGCGACGATATATCTGGTGCTCGATCTGTGGCTTTTCATCAGACTTGGAGACCACGGTGTTGTTGGTTTTTTGTAGCCAGTTCCCTCATTTCAAAAACGGTGGTTTTAATTTTCGTAAATGAGAGGCTCACATGACTCCTCGAGTAATACCACTGACCAGCCAATCGGTGGCATGCAGTCTGACGGTGTCCCATTTTATTACCTACTCAGATCGTGTGGAACCCTGGCCGAGCAGATACTACCACGGTACCTTTTACCAGGTACTAAAACCTAATGGAAAACCCCTAAACTGTGGCAAACAATGCTGAGTCGATCTGAGTAGGTATTAATAGAGTAGACGATGGCACGGCCACATCCAGACGTCCAGACACCTGACTGCTCCGGACTATGCAACTTTTTAGCTTTTTACTTGTTTGTTACGTTGTTATACATTCCAGGAACTTCTAGTTTTGTAGTTTATGACAGCAGATCCCTTCTCAACATCGGTAACAAGTTTGCACATGTAATTTTGGACACTTTTAAATCCCACCCATCCTGGCCGACCGAGATACTACGCGGCGCGGCCAACAACAATGGACAGGACGTTCACCCGAGGCGCAGAACAAAGAAAACGCGCTGGCGTTCGGAACAGACTGAGACAGCAGGTGCACCGTGCACCACTGCCCAGTATCCTGCTGGCTAATGTACAATCGTTGGAAAACAAACTAGATGATCTGAGGGCAAGAGTCACCTTCCAACGTGACATGAGGGACTGCAACATTCTGTCCTTCACAGAGATATGGCTGACCCCCACCGTGCCCGACCAGGCCAAAACTCCGTCGGATTCATTCTTCATGCTCCGCGCGGACAGAATGGTGGAGTCGAACAAAACAACAAAAGGTGGAGGAGTGTGTTTCATGTTAAACAGAAAGTGGTGTGACCCCAAGAGCATTTCTACTCTCTCCACCGGCTGCTAGCCACTTCTGGAACACCTGAGCATTAAGTGTTGCCCTTTCTAACTGCACAGTGAGTTCACCTCGGTAATTGCTACAGTGGTCTACATCCCACCCCAAGCGGACACAGCTGGTCGGCCCAATCAGAAGCTACGCTACAGGACGTGCTCAACGACGTAGACATGTTCAGAGCATGCGCGGTCGACATCAATGAGTTTACAGATGTAGTAGTAAGCTTTGTAAACATGCTAGTGGATGAGATCTCCACTGCCACAGTCGTGGCGTTCCCAAACCAGAAACCGTGGGTGGACAGATCGATCTGTGCTGCAGTGAACGCCAGGACCACCACCTACAACGCGGGTCTCCTCCTCATCTCCTCAAACCTGACATGGTCTGCCCACATTCAGCTCCAGACCAAAAAGGCTAGGCAGCGCCTGTATCGCCTATGACAACTGAGGAAGTTCAGGGTCTCTCCAAAGATCCTCAGGAATTTCTATACAGGCGGTGTGGAGAGCATCCTCACATCCTGGTATGAAAACAACAGTGTCAGGGATAAAAAAAAAAAGCTCTTCAGAGAGTGATCCATATGGCAGAACGCTGCTGCAGGACTGCTCTCCCTTCCCTACAGGACATTTATGTCAGGAGATGCTGGACTAGAGCAACTCAGATTTTGAAGGACCCGTCCCATCCCAGCAATGAACTGTTCCAGC